TTGCTTTTGAGGAGAGGAATGTGTGGCTGAGTACAGAAGTGGGAGGAATAATTTTCAACACAAACCCTTTTATCCTGTTTGAATGTTAAACCATATGCAAAGTATTACCTGGTGTAAATAAATAAGAAAGCAAATAAAAAAGAAAGTTCCACGGCAAAAAGTACAAAGAACTATTTTAAAAAAAAGGCATCCTTTGGCCTGACAGTTCCAACTTGAAGAAAGAAAATGCTACATAGATGAAGGTTACTTATTTAAATTAACACTTATTGAGTACCTATCTATGCCAGGCTCTGTTCTGAGCACCAGGAATAGAACAGTAAACAAAATACAGAAAAACTCTTACCTCCATGGAATTTATATTCTAATAAAGAGAAACAGACCATAAGCCAGTGAATAGATGAAATAGTACACTAGCTGGTCAGAAGTGCTATAAGAAAATCAAGCAGGGAAGATGATGGGAAGACCTGATGAGGGGATGGATTATAACTTTAAAGGGGTGGTCAGGGAAGGTCGTAGAATGTGACCTTTCAGAAGGTGAGAGAGCAAAGTGTTTCAGGCAGAGGAACAACAAGTGCAAAGGCCTGGGACAGAAGCAGGCCTGATGTGCTGAAGGAAAAGCAAAAAGGTCACTATGGCCAGAGCAGGTGGAGTGAGGGGGGAGAGCCGGAGCTGCAGTCAGACAGGACCTGAAGACAGATCATATAAAAAAGCGAAAATCATGGGTGGTCGGATAAAAATTTAGACTTAAAATACTCAGACTGTATCACAAAAGCTTAGAGGCAGAGGAGAAAGGTAAAGCTCTTATTTTACACAGGCGAAATGAAAAGATACAGAATCACTGCTGATGCTGAAAAACAGGAAAAATGGACTCAACTTTTTGCCTGGCAATAAGATAAAAACAAACAAAAGGTATATATACAAGAAAGAAAGGGATGAAAAAGTCATTTCTGTGGAAGATATAAACTCTATGAAGAATATAAGACAACCATTAGAAGTTATGAAGAACTGCTAGAACTCATAATTCAGTAAGGATGACCGATAAAAGACAAGCATACGGACTCCCTTTTACCAAAATAGGGCAGCCCCATTTAAAGGAAATACATTTAAACACTAGGGGAAGGTAAAGGGACCTAAACGGAAATAAAGTTTCTATACTTCACTTGACCTGGTAACACAGTTAACATTAGGCTGGGATAAGTTATATGTGTACAAGGTAACACCCAGGGCAGCACCTAAGCAAACTGTATAAAGCAATATACTCAGGCATTGTGAGTAAATCAAAATGGAATTTTAAAGTATTCAAAGAAATCACAGGGAATTAAGAAAGGAGAAATGGAAGAAATATACAGAAAACAACACAATGGCAGACCTAAGCCCAACATATTAATAATTACCTTTAATATAAATGCTCTAAATCCACCAGTTAACAGAGAGTGGCTGTAGCGATAAGTACCTGACAATTGAGTCTTTTTTCATTTTAATGTAAGCGCCTGACGTTAAGCTTTTGATTGCTGAGGCATCCATTTCAAAGACATCAATCTTGAATAAACACATTGCCAGCCACACAACTAAAGAGCCAGGCCACCCCTCCGTAAAGTTCCCCTCTTAGAAAGCCCTGGATGACCTAGGTCATTTGAGTGACCCTGCTTTTCCCTTAGTGCACTTTCATTCCCGCTCTTGTGTTTTAAATTCACCAATAAGGAGTGAACCCACGAAACCCTAGGCAGCTCACCCTCAACCCCAATAAAGGCCCAGGGCTAACCGACGGCCCCCCCACCTATCTCCCCGTGACCTCGATGTGTAGGCCAAGGCACGTTGTTTTTTCAAGGTTCTCTGATGCTTGTTGCTGAGGTTCATCTTGCAATCATGGTAAGAATCACAAAGGCTGGTCCGTCCAGCCACAACAATAGCCTGGTGAGTGCCCCCAGGCATTCCTAGGACAGCATCACTAGGCTGAGACGGGCACAAAAAACTGGCAGAGTGGATTAACAAAAGACCCAACAATATGCTGTCAATAAGAAATTGTCTTCAAATACAAAGACACAGGTAGGCTAAATGTAAAAGGCTGAAAAAAGATAGGTTGTGCAAACATTAATTAAAAAAACCTGGGAGTTAGATTTACAAATGTTAGCCACTATATATAAAAATAGATTTTAAAAAAGTCTC